AGTGACAACACATAGGTTGCACTGCGGTTCGCACGTCCAAGCTATCCCGCTACCCAGGGCTTTGACGTCGACCGGCTACTACGACATCTTGACGAATAACTCTCCCAATGAAATATGCCGACTGCGCCATTCTCGCTACATGCCACGAGCAAACAACACATTTAGCCAGGCAGGGCAGCCGGTCGAAACGCACTCCATTGACGGACATATGCGTCGGGAGCATACCACCTCACACACGGGCTCACCCTGACCTTGCGAGGCTACCTCTTCAGTATGTCAAGGCCATTCGCACGCATTCGTTTCTCCAAAACTGGGCGCGCGGCGCGTCTGCAACCGCTCGTTAAATGCCCAAACCCTCCGCCGCCGGCGCCACCGGCCCAGCGTGCCTCCCGTCCCCATCCATCAGTGGCGCCACCCGCCACCCGCCACCCGCCACCCGATGGATGGGGGTGTGTAGGTACCCACGCATTCCCCCATGGCGTTCCAGCCCCGCAGTCCAACCGGCGTTTGAGAAGCACAACACACGCCGGACGGCTGAAAAAACACTATGTATGTTGTCACAGGGCTCCAGCCGCTCTTCGGAAAAATCGTACTAGCAAGATGCTACGATGACTCAGCCTGCACAACATACCAGATGCCTATGCTCAAATCAATAAAAATGTCGCCGCCGTAGAGACATAGTGCCTGTCGTCTGAAGACCGTGGAATGTTCACCCCATTACGGCTCAGCTCAGTGGATTTCAGGGTGCTCTTTGCCGACCCGGGCCTCGGTTTAGAATTATCGTCATTACGAGCCGACTTGGCGCCACTTGAAAAGGTTAGGCATTCGCAGAAGACCGGTAACAACGCCTGCAGTTGAAGCTTACATCCGTTTAGGGTCCCTAGGCTATTGCTGTTCATACATGCATCTTCCCAATGACGGGTTCACCCTTTAAAGGCTGGCTAAATTGAACACAACATATGTAAGTATAACTACGGCGGGGGCCCTTATATCAACTCGGAGCTAAGACGCCGTGTCCACCGCCGGAGCGCTCGCGCCACGCCCGCCGCCGCGCGCCCCGGTGGCGGCCGGCCACATAGCTCGAGAGGTGGGGCATGTTAATGAGGCGGCGTCGGCCAGCTGTCGCGCGCCTCCGGAGCAGCCGGCGGCGGCCCGTCGAGCTCGGCGGGCCGACTGGCGGCGGGTGCGGCGCCGGTGGCCGGACCGGGGCCGCGCGGCGGACACGCGGGCTCTGCGCCACGGGCACCAGGAGCACATTAGTCACGGGGAGAATGTGCACAGAGGCCGCGTCACGGGCACCAGCAGCACACTAGTCACGGGGAGAATGCGCACAGAGGCCGCGTCACGGGCACCAGCAGCACACTAGTCACGGGGAGAATGTGCACAGAGGCCGCGTCACGGGCACCAGCAGCACACTAGTCACGGGGAGAATGTGCACAGAGGCCGCGTCACGGGCACCAGGAGCACACTGGTCGGGAAAAAAGCTGTACATTTTTTAGTAGCCCTATGTAATTTCCCATGTAATCCACTTTTATTACGCTGGGTAATGCATTCTGGGGGACTATGCAGGAGATCGGGCTCATCCAGGAGCCAAGACAAACATTGGAAAAGCCAAGCACCTAAAACGCAGGCTTCATCCGAGACACACTGCTCATAAGAACATCACAGACGCAGGAACACATTGCCCACAAAGAAGCCGCATCCCGAACACGCTCAAAAGTTGCTCACAACACCCTATCACGAACACCCTAGACGCGCCACTCGCTCCGCAAGTCAAATGGCACGCGCACTCACGGGGCTTGAACAGTGTTCACGCTCGCTGTTTTGAAGCTGACTGAAGCGGCAGCGACGGCTATAGGTGGAACAGGACACGCTTTAATCACAAATGACATGATGATATCGTCCGGCATGGCATGACATGACAACGTTAAATAACACATTCGCTCTCACACATGGCACTGCTCCACGGATCAGTGACGTATTCACTACGCACACGTTGTGCTTACATATATTTTTATAAAAGGGCGATGTTGCCGTTTTAGCAGCGTGTGGCAGATCCGACATCGCATTCATATAGTTATGCTTCCCTTCAGCCTTTTCCGCCAGCAGCCATTGGTATGTGAATAGCAATGCAATGATTGCAGAAATCCGGTTGCGTTATTGTCGGCGACGAGCTAAAACTGACTAGTTCACCTTGGACATTCGACATGTCGTGAACTCGTCAAACCGATTACCACCCCATATGCTCTAGTGCTCAAGAAGGCCTTCGGCATGTTCGACCAGAAGAAGACCGGCTCCATCGAGGTCAACAAGGTGGCCGCCATCCTCAACACCATGGGCCAGCAGTTTGACGACGACGAACTGAAGACGCTCTGTGAAGACAAGGCCAAAGGCAAGCCAGCTTGCAAATGGCGTGATCCCGTGAGAGGGAGCATAGGGGTGTAATGGAAGTGGACGGGGGATGGGAGCGTGATGAGAGTGGGCGGGAGAATGAGGGTGTGATGGGAGTGGGCGAAAGGACACGGAAATGAGGACATTTCCGTGTTGCTCCTGCAGTCCTAAGACGATAGCATCTTGATTTACTCTTACAGCTACTCCTGTCTTTTTGCAGCAGTTTGTGAATATGTAATAAAACAGCTGGAAGGCAGTAAGCTTCTTACATTCATAACAGCCACGTTGGATAGCGCAAAAGCAGAAACATCCCGCGTGTTGTATCTCGTTGTAAAATATGCCAGAGGTTTAGCTGTGGTGCGTTTGTAGCGGCGGCACACGTGCCATCTGTACCGGCTGTACGCGCACTCGTCGTACAGGCAGTATCGCCGTTTTTTTATAATGTCCTGCGGCGTTATTTGGGGCCTTTGCAAAACTTCAGCGCTAGCAAGCACGCGTGAAAGTTAGCACAGTTAAAGTGTACGTCTTCCTGCTCACGTGGCGGGGGGGGGGGGGGGGTATTGTTTTGTAACAGTCACATTTACCTTGAGTCTGACTCACGCCATATCTGCATCCTAACAGCTATTTAAGCACTTCGCATTTAATTCGGACCGAACAACCAGTCATTTCCACCAACGTCCCAATCCTGGGCAAATTGAAAAACCCGGAATATTGTTAAACTTCGCATCCAGACAACGCTGGTCAGCGATCAGGGCAAGGGACACACTGGCGCTGGATGCCACGACCTATTACTTGGGAAGTCAGAAAAAAAACAGTAGAATGGTCGCTGGGGTCAGGGAGCATTTCCCCCGCTCCTGTCCGCACCTGGTGACGCCCCTGCCTGTCGCCAGCAGCGATCTGCCAGCAAGCGGCGTTGGCACCGCTATTCTCAGTCAATCGTGGATTCTGACATGACCTTTCAGTGGTACTTCGTCCTGTTCTCCCTCTGCCCTGACAGAGGGCGACGCGGCTGAAATGTTGAGAGACTGATGTGACGCGTCGGTCTGCGCCAGGTCACGCCAGTTGTGACGCGTCTATCCGCGCCAGATCACGCCAGTTGTGACGCGTCTATCCGCGCCACGTCACGCCAGTTGTGATGCGTCTATCCGCGCCAGGTCACACCAGTTGTGACGCGTGTATCCGCGTCAGATCACGCCAGTTGTGACGCGTCTATCCGCGCCACGTCACGCCAGTTGTGACGCGTCTATCCGCGCCAGGTCACGCCAGTTGTGATGCGTCTATCCGCGCCAGATCACGCCAGTTGTGACGCGTCTATCCGCGCCACGTCACGCCAGTTGTGACGCGTCTATCCGCGCCAGGTCACGCCAGTTGTGATGCGTCTATCCGCGCCGGGTCACACCAGTTGTGACGCGTCTATCCGCGCCAGGTCACGCCAGTTGTGACGCGTCTATCCGCGCCAGGTCACGCCAGTTGTGATGCGTCTATCCGCGCCGGGTCACACCAGTTGTGACGCGTCTATCCGCGCCAGATCACGCCAGTTGTGACGCGTCTATCCGCGCCACGTCACGCCAGTTGTGACGCGTCTATCCGCGCCACGTCACGCCAGTTGTGACGCGTCTATCCGCGCCGGGTCACACCAGTTGTGACGCGTCTATCCGCGCCACGTCACGCCAGTTGTGACGCGTCTATCCGCGCCACGTCACGCCAGTTGTGACGCGTCTATCCGCGCCACGTCACGCCAGTTGTGACGCGTCTATCCGCGCCACGTCACGCCAGTTGTGACGCGTCTATCCGCGCCGGGTCACACCAGTTGTGACGCGTCTATCCGCGCCGGGTCACACCAGTTGTGACGCGTCCGTCCGCGCCAGATCACGTCAGTTGGGCAGTAACAGGACAGTTACGCGTGCGAACTTGCCCGGCCTGCGAACTTGCCCGGCCGGGAGCATGCTTGACATACCTGTTAAGACATAGGCCTGCCTGTGAAATGGATGGATGTGTTTTCCGATGCACTCATGGCCTTTGTGTCAGTGCGTTCTGTTGAATTTGTACTTTGCCATCTGTTGCGGTCTGTATGTAATGGGCATTTACTCGCTCGTTCCCAGATGGGAAACTGGACTTCGACAGCTTCGTCAGTATCGCCTCTAACTTCCTGGAGGAAGAGGATGACGAGGCCATGCAGCAAGAACTGAAGGAGGCTTTCCGGCTATACGACAAAGAAGGTGTCCGTAGCGTAGAAACCATGTCTAACTGTACGTTGGATTTACGCATGAGAAGTGTTCCGAGATGTCCCAAAAGCTCATAGATATCCGCAAAATAAGACAGGTTAAACCCTGATGTGGAACAGTGGAAAATCGTGAACTGTTACAAGAAAAGGTGAGTGTGAGCACGTATTACATATTTACATATACGTCTTTATACATACAATCTAGACATATCTATGCATACACACACACACACACACACACACACACACACACACACACACACACACACACACACACACACACACACACACACACACACACACACACACACACACACACACACACACACACACACACATACACACACACGCACACACATACACACACAAATACATACACACACGCACACGCGCACACCCACGCACGCACACACAAACACACATACTCGTACACGCAAATGCTTACGTAAGCTGTTAAGTGCATTTGCGAGGAGCATTATCCACATAGCTAAGACGGTAGTTATAGCCTTATTCCTCGGAGAAAGTCATGAGAATAAAGATATAGATGCGTTGATATTTCGGCGACATGACCTCATCGAAATGAATAACACTTCTGTCATTCATTTCAATAACTGCACGTTGCCGAAATATGAAGGCACCTATATATCCGTTCTGCTGGTTTTTTTTCCAAGGAATGCGGCTATTACTACTGTATTATTCATTGGATCCCTGCTTCGTCGCCAGGGAACGGCTACATCACGACACAGGTGCTGCGGGAGATCCTGAAGGCGCTGGATGACAAGCTTACGTCAGAGGACTTGGACGGCATCGTGGAGGAGGTGGACACAGACGGCTCGGGGACGCTCGACTTTGACGGTAGGCGCAGGCCTGCGCCGGCCGCGGGCGCGCCCCCTCAAACGCCGCGCAGCCCGGCGGGACGGTGGTGGGTCCCCCAGCCACAGCCCGGCGGGACGGTGATGGGTCCTCCGGCCACAGCCCGGCGGGACTGTGATGGGTCCTCCAGCCACGGCCCGGTGGGACGGTGATGGGTCCTCCAGCCACAGCCCGTTGGGACGGTGGTGAGTTCACTAGCCACAGCCCGGTGGGACGGGGATGGGTCCCTTAACCACAGCCTGGTGAGACGGTGGTGGGTCCTCCAGCCACACCCAGTGGGACGGTGATGGGTCCCCGCTACAGCCCGGTGGGACGGTGCTGGATTCCCAGCCATAGGCCGGTGGGACGTCTATGAACCCCCCAGTCGCCGCCCGGTGGAACACTGATGGGGTCCAGGGGCGTCACTTTATATATTTTGGAGGGCCTGAGCCCCTCCCCCCATGCTTCTCTGAGTCCCCTCAATACATGTGAGCAAGGAGGGAATACTGGGCCAAATAAGCGCAGAACAATCATCCTTACTTTTGCTATGCTAGGTAGTACGCACCTGAACATCTCACGATTAGTATCATGCTAATTTTGTACCAAATTCATATATAAAATAAAAAGCATACCTGGGCCGGAAATCGATCTTAAATCTACGAAATATTAAGGAAACTGTTTTAAAATGCAACATCGAGGGCAACAATTCAAGTCACCGAAATCGGGGAGAAATCGTGTTTGAGGAGAGATTAGGTCAGCTTTTCGGGTGGCCATCCCAACCGATTTTAGAAAGTGACGCCCCGAATGGGATTCTCCCAGCCGCAGCCCGGTGGGCCAGTGATGGGTGCCCTAGCTGCATCCGGTGGGACGGTAATGGGTGCCCCAGCCGAATCCGCTGGGACGGTGACGGGTCTCCACATGCGCCCATGGAGCTGTGCAGCATGATATGGAATGTGACCGGAGCCTGTAGCACAGCCGAGCTTCCCACGCCTTCGCAATGCTGCGCTTCCCTATCGCTGCATCCTTCGCCGAACCAGAGGACCTCAGTTTTCAGTGCGATATGAAATAAAAGGCGGCATGAATCTAGAACCTCATGGAATATACACACACACACACGCACGCACGCACGCACGCACGCACGCACGCACGCACGCAAGCACACACACACACACACACACATATATATATATATATATATATATATATATATATATATATATATATATATATATATATATATCATAAATATCGCACGGCCTTGAGCAAGTGCGGCCCCCAGAGCCAGTAGTGATGGTGTGTGTAACGACATGGAACTTTCCACCTCCGTGGTGCGAGGAAACATCCTGGGCCCATTTACAAGCGGCACTGCGCCCGAGTGTCTCAGAGATAGCCCATTGCTTGGCCTGACTGCCGTAAAATGTTCCCTTGTTACTGACGGTCGAGGGTCAACCCTGACCCGCGGTGTTGTTCGGCACGTGACATACTCTGTAGCCATCTTTGACGCAAGGGCGGAGTAAAAATCATCGGCTAACCTGGGCGGCACAACGTGGATGTTGCGCTCAGGGTACGCACGATCAGCTTCCCTTCGCCAGCATGTAGTCTGAACCCAGGGCTACCCACGGAGGAGACCGAAGCGGAGCATATGCTGGCCGATCCATCCTTTTCCCACAGAATCTGGAGCGACCGTGCAACTTGATTTCAGGCAACCCATTCAGAGTGAAAACAAAAGATGCTGCGGACAAAAACGCCTGTCCTGTCAGAATCATGATATACCCATTGCGATGCATATCAATCGTTCCTCCGCTAAGAATACGCTAATGCAGTTGCAACAGACGCGCAGTGGTGTCATGTCTACGCTTACGCATTATTGCTGGGAAGAAAGCGACGAGTGACACCGCTGGCAAAAAAGTTCGTATCCGGAGGGCATTTAGAAACAAGCAGAGGTCTTATTCCCCCCAGCGGCCACGTTCAGTGACGAAATAAGCACACACTTCTCACTCAAATGCTCCAGAACGTATGCACGCACGGTGTGCGGTGAACAATCGCTCGACACCTGAAATGAAGGAGCCGACACCGCGGAGGAGTATATGCTGGACGATATGTCCCTTTCCCACGGAAACTGGAGCGACCGTTCCGCTTGGTTTCAATGTGAGGCATGCTCAGTTCAATTTTTGTCGTTTTACCACAGCTTAAAATTGCGATGTCACAGCTTGCGTCTGGCCATGACATAAGTGCTATGCGACCGACCTAATCGAATCCATTTTACAACACACAGCGCTCAGCATCCAGCTTAGTTGAAATTCTCCTGCATCACTTCCCGACAAGAGCATTCAGCGCCAAATGCGGCCCCACGCGGGCTTAGAGCTCCAAACTGTTTTAAGCTTTCTTTGAACCGCTTTTCCGCCTGTTAGACGCTTGAGCACCCACGGCCGGAGCATCGTCCAGTAGCCGCAGTGGCCGCGCCTGTCGGTTCGACTATGGGCAGCTACCGGCTGCCGCTGCCGGTCTGCCGGAAACGCTGACTGCGCCAACCCATAGGCTGTGTGTGTTGTGGTTTCAGAGTTCATGGAAATGATGACAGGCTAGGTGACGTCCTGCCAGCACCAGACTCCGGTACGTTCTGGATGTGGCAGCGAACGCATGAGTGTGGTGGCCCGGAATGTCCTGACACCGTGTGTGCAGATGGAGGAGGGGATAGGCGGAGCGCTGGACGACGTATGTGGCGTCACGCTCATCCGTCACACACGAGTTTCCCATGCAATTGCGTTAATTTACGCTCAAAGTTGAGCAGTCTGACCGAAAAGCATGGGTGACCAGAGCTCAGAGCATTGCAGCCTCCCAAACGCTGCAAAAGAACATGGTGCTCAAAACAGATCACTGTATCAGACCATCAGGCAAAGAGCCTTCTACTTGGGAACAATGATTCCGTCTGCGCGATCTCGGGGTCACAAGGTTCCGGACGGCGACGGGTCCAGCGCCCAGCGACGTGCCCGTCGCAAGGGTGTCCATTTCAGCAACGCGACGTGCGACAACGCACAGTTGTGTATAGCATACAAAAACGCAAGCTTCCTCCGTCAGCACACATAGTGCTAAGAACATTCTCGGGCGCCCCAGACGGCTCACAGGCCGAGCACGCACGGTTGAATGAGCATGCGTGTGCGTGCATGCAAGAGCAGAGCGGGGGACCTGGCACGCCGCGGTGGGTTTCCGTCAGGTGCGGCCGGTGTGTCGGCCAGGCCTGACCTGCAGGGCGGCACGGCGGGGCACGTCACGACCGCCCGTACTCCCCAGCAGCTTCCCGACTGGCGCGTTGAGCGCTCTCGCCCCATTTCGTTCTCAGTAGATTTTGTCATGATAATTTCATACGTCGCCAGTAACCATAGCAGCTGTCTGTTGGTCGTTACCGTGTTGAACGTGTTCAAACGTTTCTGTTTCGGTGGTTTGTAACGCGATCGGCGTTGTGTTTTGTTCTGGTCCGTTATGCTTGTTGCTGTCACGGCACAGGTGCATTTCTGTCGTTCTGCCGTTTGGCGTTTTGGACATCACTGACGGGCTATGTTTTGTGAACAGAACTGTGCAACGCTGCAGTGCTCGCTGCAATGAGGTACATATGTCACTGCTGTGAGACGTCACTTGCTGACATTAAGTACACACATAAGCGACATATATGTCATTTGCTCGTACAAACTGCACGCATGAAAGACTTGTTCTACCACAAAGTTGTCTGCGCTCAGCATCGCTGCCTGCTCAAAACATCGATGTCACGTGACCACATAAAATGAGCGTGTGTACGAGAGAGGAGGGGAAGGGCGCGAACCGCGACCGGACGCCTCTCGTTGCAGAGTTTATGGAGATGATGGCAGGCGAGTGAGGTCACCACGAGGCACCCAGCTGTGGCTGCCGCTCCGTTCTGCATGCCACGCCTCCGCCGAAACAAACTGGTCCGCCGCATCGTCCCAGATTAGATAGTCCCGGCATAGGTCACCAAAAGCCAACGACGCTGCCAGCCGAGACGTCAAATGCAACCCTAAAGGCAGCGTTCACATCCCGCGACACTTCCCATGGCTCCACAACCCAGGCGTTCCTCCCACCCTTTGCAGTGTACGGAAACTGGAATGGTTGTGCGACCCTATGCGCGACGCGAATGCAAGTACAGCTATATACGTTGCTCCCGATGTGTCGACTAGCAGCCTTTGGGCACCGCTGGGCATCCGATGATGGTGCAATCCTTCATGAACGTCGCGCAGCGCTGTGTTGTTACTAAATGTTGAAATATGAACTATGTGCAGACTTTTCTATCGTGCAAGAGCGTAGCTTCAGCGAACATCCATGACTGAGAAGCATTAGTATGAATACAAATCAAATTGTACGGGCTTTCTTTTACTTAAGTGCTCTTGTGGCACTGACCGACACTAACAACCTATACTAACGGGCCACTGCGCATCGCTCTGGATATTAGACGCGACTGGCCCTCCCGACCTCATGGCCTACTCAAAGCACCCGTCTGACTTCGAGAGGCGTTTCGCTGCAATGGAGGTGCCATTGGCGACTGCCCCGGTGTCGCGCGAGCGGACGCCACCCACTGATGTCGTGGGTCTCCGAACGGCCGCGAGCGTCTTCTGTGGGACTGTCCGCGCGCCTCCGTGCCACAGCCGTCCCGCTCTGCCCCAGACAGGCGCGGCCGTTGGCTGGATGTCCCCAAGGGACGAGTATATTAGACGGGCCGGCCTCCGCCGCGCACGCACACCACACCCGCGCTGCAGAGCGAGAGAGAGCGCGAGAGCGAGCTGGCCCGGGGCCAGGGTTAGTACCTACCCACCGGCACTGTTCCCACGCTGTTGAGCAACGCGGCCAGGCCTGCACGCGGCGCCGGACGCTGCTGCAGTCCGCGCGGCCGGCGCCACGGGTGCCCTCGGCTCGGCTCGGCTCGGCTCACCGCCGCCGCCCACGCGTCTCGCAGCACCCGCCGGGGTCGGAGGCGCGCCGGGCTCGCTCGGAGTGCGCCGCCGCGCCGGCTGGCCGGCCCGGGCCGCCGGTGCTCCTGCCCGCGGCACCTCGCCACAGCTCGACCACAGGCGCCCGGCCGCGGCGGCCCGCTCGTCGAGCCCGAGCGACGCAGCCACGCGCACACGTGATCCATATCACATTGATCCCGGTTCGCTCCGAGCGGCCACGGCCGGCTGATGCGGGCCGACGAACCAGCCGCCGCGCGCGGCCGGCCGCTCGCGACACCGGGCCGGCCATCCCGCATAAGACGCACATGAGTTCGGAATACAGGGCACTTCGGCATCCGTGGCGAGGCTTGCTTCGCTCGCATCGAGACAGCCGAGTTACAAACTATCTTTCGCACATCTGGCACATTGGTACTCAAAGCCGCCAAGCTGCGGAGATCCGTCTTGCCTGGACATGACACGCACTCCAGCGAACTTTTACAATTGCACAGTTCACACCGAGACGCACCAGCGCTCGCCTGGAGCGCCGTGCGAATAAAAGCTAAAAAATCGCGCTCCAAAAGGTGGATCGAAAGCGACAAAAATCACACAAGGCCCGCTCCGTTCCGGCCGTCTCCCAGCGGGACCGGCCAGCGCAGTACCTCAGTCGCCGCGTCGGAAGTAAATGCCCCGCGATGGAATGTGTTCAGTAGTCGGCAGCACATATCACAGCGCGGCGCGTCGGACCGGTAGGACGTCGGCCGCGAGCCGCACCATCGGCCGGCGCGCGCGCGCCACACCGCCCACCGGCGCACACGGCGCCCCCGCCGTCTAGGAGGAGGCGTAGTACCACGTCGGCTCGCCGGTGTCCGTGCACTTGTAGTCGACGCTCTGCGAACGAGGCGCCGATGTCAGCGGTGGTCAAGAATCGGCCACTTCGGGCAGGCCGCGCCCCTCACGCGTGGTTGGTCACCACGCACAACTGTTGGCACTCAAAGCCCAGTCACGTCACAACGAAATCCAACAACGCCGGGAAACGACTGCCGCGTGAGGTCGAGTGTCGCCCATTTCTTCGAGTAAATCAATCGGCCAACCTAAAAAAGGAAACATTCACGCCTCTTGAGGCACGTCATTTGTCCTGTACCCTTCTGGAGACTTGTTTTATGTGCAGCTCCGCGGCGTCAAACCATGATCGTTTCTGGAACTGCATTACACGTCTAGTTTTGGAAGTTTGGTGGCGAAGAGAGTCACCCGGTGTCTTCAAGACGCAAATCTACAACCCCGTCTGGCGTTGAACCCCACGTAAGACCAGGCGTCCAGTTCTGATGAGCTACACGGTGCCTCGAACGTTCCCGGTATCCCCACGGCGCTCGCGATCCTCGCGATGATTCGCAGGACTGCCGAGTTGAAAGTGAAACATTATCAGTTCGCTCCTCTAGCGCCGCCGCTGCTGCTGCCGTCCGCATGCATCCTGCCACGGAGTCGGCTACCAGACCGGCATGTGAGGGGGGGGGGGGGGGGACGCAGCGCCGGCTACGCGGGACCACAGCGCGCGAACAAGTGAGCAGCGGCGCCGCACCCGCCGTGGCACGGCAACCTGTGGCCGTGGCAGCCCGCTCCCAGGGGCGGCAGAAAGGTGACCACTGCTGAAGAACGGGTCAGATGCTGCACACGCTCCGCGGCGCGATGTTCAGGGGCTGTCCGCGACGACTCCTACGCGGGGGAGGTGCATGGGTACGTATACACCACTCCGTGTGGTGCAGACGATAACTCTCACGAATTACGTTGACTGCATGTCACTCAGGAAGAATGTGGAACTTGTGGTGAAAAATTCAGGGCTTGAACAATCACATTATCATTGCTTGCAGCTACACACAGCTGATGAAACTTGCTGACTCTTGGTTATACAAGCATCCCTGAGCAATGATGGTCAATACAAGTAGATTAGCATTCTCTAGAACTTTGGAGCATCGCCAAAGCCACCTGTTTTACTCTGACCTCTGGCAAGCACATATCGCAGTCCACCCAATATCAGGCTAAATACAACTCCTTCGTTTCATAAGATTTTGAAGGAATCTACCGCCGCGCAGCTGTTGTCCGCTCCCGTGGCAGTACGGCCAGTCGGCCCGGTCACGGCGAGCGTCAGGCGGGAGTGAGCAGCTCCCGCCTCAGCGCTGGCCGCTCCGGGTGCCCGGCCGTTGCGTCCCGCACCCGCCGAGCGCCGCCGGCGGTGGCCAGCCTCACCTGCATGTGGCTGGTGGAGGTGCGGCCCAGCTGGTGCAGCCGCTGCAGGTGGCAGCGGCGGCACAGCAGCGCCTCGTCCAGCGGGTAGCAGCGCTGGTCGGGCTCGTCCGTCAGCTGCAGGCCGCACATCTCGCAGATGTAGCAGTCCACGTGGAAGTCGCGATCCATGCTCACCACGCGCACCGTCTCCTCGGTGCCCTCCACTGGCGTGATGCTCTTGCCGCAAGCGGCGCACTTGGGCGCGAACATCCTGCCGCCACCGCCACCTCCGGTCAGTAGAAGCCCAAAGCACACGGGCGGTCGGTTTCGTATCGACTACATTCAAACGTGAAGCATTCATATTTGTTCGAGGGCTGAAGCCGGAAGCAACTCAAAGGTGCATCCCCAGCAGGCACGGCGGGGCACAGGTCTGAGACAGCGAAACAGGGGCCCCGTGCTACGTGAGGGAGACACGCTTACCTGTGGTAGTCGTTCACGCAGTAGATCTTGTTATCGACATCGATCGTGAAAGGCACGCCGTCGAGACATTCGTTGCAGATGCAGCACCGGAAACACCCAGGATGGTACGACTTGCCCATGGCATGCAGAATCTGGGAATAGACAGCCATCAGCGCCGCGCAGTACGGCTGGAAACTCGGACACCATGCGGCCCCCCCAGTCTGTTGCACTTACGCGTAACCGAGTTGACGGATGCCGCCTAGAAACACTGCTCCGATCTGCTCACGGTAAATATCCGTCCAATCACTGACCAATGCCACGCGAATTACGCCACGAACATAGCATTCGAACAATGCACTGATACGAGCCTTAAGCCGTCACCTTGAGCGTGCATGGACATCGTCAGTAAAACGAGTTGAGGCAGGCGTAAGCCGGTCTTAAATTGTCAATTACAACACCCCCGAGCTCCGAGCCTCCTCAGCTTAGCTGTTCCATACGTCAGCGCCCATCGCGCGTACCATTTCCATGATGAGGTGTCCGCAGATGGCGCATTTTTCGGCTGTCTGCTGGAACCCGGAGTACTGGCAACAGCAGGGCGGCGCTCAGTCAGTGCAGGCGGCTGCATTACGCCAAGGCCAACTGTCCGCCTATCCGCGCCAAGATGCACGAACGAATATATTCATCGCGTCGATCAGTGAACGACAACGTTGCAAGTAAGGCGCTTCTGTCCTCTGCAAACAAAACTAATCATCTTTGCTTATGCTATGACTATGGCAGACTTTGCAACGTCCAAGAGACACGTGTACAAACAACGCAATGTTAAAATGCAATACAAAGAGCAGGCTCCAAACTCACCAGTATTCAATGAGCACTCCCGTGCGAACTACCGCACTACGCTTCCGCTTTGAATGTGCATGCTACGTCTGCCCAACATAACACGGAGCGGCTCTCCACGCACGTACCGAACGGGGACACCATATTGGCAGCGAGTGTGCTGAGCTCAGCCGACACTTTATGTTGAAAGGGACCGCTTTATACGCGCTCGGGTGGGGTCAGATTGACCCCTCGAACGTTTTCCTGAATGGTTTCCGAACGGCGCGGCGTAGCCGCGTCAAATTTTGCATGGCTGTAGACAATTGAATAAAAAAATACATGCACCTTATACGGTTGCTGACGTACGGCAAGTCAAAGTAAGGCCATGAATTCAGTGAATTCAATTTCTAGGGAATCGTTCCATTTGATGCAACCAGGAATGTTAGACGGAGCCATACATTTCTGAGATACTTTCATAGGCAATGTAGCAATTGAGTGAACAAATTCCACTGACCTAGAGTCAGGCATAAAGGTCAGGCCAGGGTCAATACCAATCTGTTTTATAACTAGGGTTTGCTGGGTGAGGTAGTTTCTAGTGCTCATTTCGAATTTAATGATGACAGGAACCACATTCTGCGTCTTCCACGAACTTTTTTTACGGTCAGAATAGGCCTCTGACCTAAAATAACCCAGGTCGACATTTTTTTTAGGAACAACTGCCTCGGGTAATCTTTGTTGTTTATTCAACTGCAAAACTCAAAGCAGTCTTGAGTGATTTTAGTCACCATGACTTCTTAAAGGTCAAACAAGGTCACTGACCTTAAATGACGTGTGACCTTTTGTTCTGAATAGTTATCTAAATTCTGGGGTACTTCGGAAACACCAGCCTGGAGTTTGACCTTGTCTGACCTTATTTGACCTGAAGGTCTTGACCTGCAAACCT